TTCTTAAGAAAAATAGTGATTCTTCAAAGAAAACTTTTTTTTGTACTAAGTTAATTGCCTTTGAGCCTTTAAGTAAACTTGTAGAGCTCATCAAGATGAATCTAACAGTGGTTAGATCATCCAAATCAGCTTAGTAGATGTTAAGATATCTTTAAAAAACCTTTTGCTAACTTTATAAATTTCTTTAAAGAAATTTATAAAGTTAGCAAAAGGTTTTTATATAAAACCGCGTTATGTTATACTATGATCATTCTTCTGTTCACTAGAGAATTATCAATTAAGATGATTTATTTAAAATCTTATGAAATGTAAATTAAATTATAGTAAGCTCATAATATATGAAATAACCCAAAATATAGGTAGATTAAAAATATTGGCAGTGATATGATCTACAAAGCATTCAGATTATATTCCTATATTTAAGATCTTTTGCTATACCTAAAACTTATAATGCAAACTAAATTACAAGTACTTAAAGATATTTCAGAGTTAGATAGTATTCACAAATTTGCAGGATACATTTATGCTGATTCTCACGTTGATAACATTTTGCAAGACCAATGCTAATGAAAATGCAAAATTTTATATCACAAATCTATGATTATTTAATTATTGCATTTTAGAGTGAGATATTTTTGATATCATGACAAATTTTGCTTCTGGAATTAATGATGTCTAATGGCATCATTTATCTTATCAAGTTTTATCAATTTTATAAGATATCATTCTTGAAATTCCTGAATGTCGAGTTTATAGAGATAGGAATGATCTAATGCTTAGCTATTTATAAAAAAAATACTTATTGCTTAAAAAATTAGCTTTAGATGATGAAAAGAAATCAAAAAAATAGTTTTTAAAATGTTATTAATAATTCTCCAAAATTATCCTGATTGTATGGATATTAGCAAAATAGTAAATGTTCATTAACTTGAATAGATCGTTTTAAATATTTAGTAAACAGGATGTAGTACAAACAAATTCTTTGTTTGTATCTTTGATGGCCAGTAATTATCAGTCTGAGAATTTAAAAATTCTCCAAATGATTATCAAAATTATTAATATTTTTAATAATCATTTAGAGAATTTTTCGACCTCAACTCAAAGTAACTTTAACTCCAACTCTTTCAGCTAATCCTTTGTACACAAATTTATGTAAACAAAAATTATTAAAAAACTTCAAAAAACACACAAAGTCTAATAAGAAACCAAACTCG